TGGTCATGGCTGCAATTCTGGGCATACACTAAAAATCACTGAATTGTACAACTTAAATAGCTGAATTCTATAGAACGTGAACGATGTCACAATACAAGAGCTGTTTTAAAAAAAATCTGCAACAGCGCTCCAAACACCTCAGGGCCTCCAGAACCCCAGCGCGGGCGCCTGCCCCTCTCCCAGTGCCCACCACCCCCAGCCTCGTGCCTGCTGCTCCACACCGTCGACTACGTATGGTCCCTGCCCAGGTCCAGCTCCTCTGTCCGTCCTGCCCTCGCTCCTATTGTCATCAAACTCCTACGACACTTTAAGACTTGGCACAGGTACCACCTCTTCCAGGAAGCCTTCCCTCAGCCACCATCCAGGTGCCTATTTTAATTACTTACTCGTGAATCTGTAAGTGCCTGGCTGGACGTTCAGTTCCCAGCAGGATGCCGGGTACCCGGTGGGTGAGGAGCTGGAAGAGTGTCCGGCTCCACCACCTCGTGTGACATTTGAGGAAATGGAGGCGCAGAGAGGACCAGACACACATGGCTCTTTGGCAGCAGAGGCCGATTCTGATCCCAGGTATCCCGTGTGACTGTGGGGTGTGAGGGGCCTCCGCTTTGGCCAGCCACCTCTTTGCCCCCAGAGAGGTCTGGAGTAGCTGCCTGCTCTCAGCACCCAGTGCCCCAGGGGCCACGCTGCTCTGATTTTTCAGCTGGGAGGGCATCCAGTCCTGCCAACGGCTGGGTTTCAGGCACAGAACTGGGGAAGTGAACAGACCTGGCAGCTGTCCCTCCGGCAGATGCCTTCCCTGAGCCTCGGACACACCTCTGGAAAAGGGGCTGATGACACCTGCAAGATGTGGGTGCGGCCAGGGTCTCTGTGTGGGTCTCCCTGCCCCCCTTGGCCTCCCTACCCATCCCCCATGGTTGCCGGGGAGCTGTGATTAGAATGAATCAGACTCACCACACTCCACTTATTTTACACTCTCCCACGGCTCCTCGCTGCCCTGAGAACTACCCCACACCCAGCCCTGGCCCACGAGGCCTGCCAGACTGGCTCTGTGGTCTTCCTGTCGCCGCTGGACATTCCCTTCGCTCAACTGTGCTCCAGCCCCTGGTGGGCAAGAGCGCTGTCCCTGCTTCCATGGCTGGTCTTCTTTCATTAGGCCCCCGGTTAAATGTTACCTCCTAGAGAGGCCCTCCCTGACCAGCCTGGTCAGAGGGATTCTCTCACGACACGGTCTCAGTCTCTGTTTCCTTTGTTGCCCCTCGTCACAAGCTGTAATTATCTTAGAAAGCAGCTTATCAATGTACGTGCTATCTTTCCCCTTCCTTAGAAGTGCCTTCAAAGGGGAAGAGGAAACAGGCTGGTGTGGCTCTCATTGGTTCCCTCACTCCTGGCAGACTGATGGGACCATAGTAGGTGCTCAATATACACGCTCGTTGTATGAACGAATACGGCCCTTATGGGTATCCTAAGAAAATGTGCGGCCAGTAAATGCCACGTTCAGTGCCACCATGACCATGTCAGTTTCATCAGGCTGCAGAGCTGCTCAGATCCTGTTCCCTCTCGTCCTCACTCCCCATGGGTCATCCCAGGAGACTGCCCACTATGGTGACAACACATCTTACTTTTCAGACTGGAAGTCCCGTGTCCCAGAAATGGCCTCAGTCTCTGGTAAGCCTCTGGCCCTATCTGTCACCTTTCACCAGTTCGCGGTTCCCTAGATGCCCTGGCCACACGTGCGAGTGTGTGCGCATGCGCGGGCACACACACACACACACACACACACACACACACACACACACACACACAGGTCCCTTTACTTGAATGCCCTTCTCCACATCAAGCCGCCCCCTGGGATGGGGTCTGACATGGATGCCTTGGGGAGGCCTGCCTCCACCAGCTACAGCAGACGCCTCTGACCTCCACTCAGTACCCTAGACACACACTCTGGGCAGCCGTGTGCTGGCCCACGGCTATCTGAGGCGGGGAGTGGGGGGAAGCCCTGATTTGTTCTGTTTGCCAATTTCTGTGGCATCAAGGCTCCCAGGGCAAATTTCAAGCTGCCCATCTGACCTAACTGACCACTGAGTTGGGAAGAGATGAGCCTAGTTGGCTCTTGTCGGTCAAGCTGGCGCCAACTGGCTTCATCCTACCACGGACCTAACCCTTCTGTGACTCATCTCCGTGCTGCCCACTGGTGGGGGAACCCTGCTGGGGGAGGGGCTGGGCCTTTCATCCCCACCTCTCTAGCCCCTAGTGCAAGGTGTGGCACATCGTAGGTGCTCAGCTCGGTTTGCTAAATGAAGGCAGGTCTGTCTCCCCAAGTGGACAGTGAGGGACTCAAAGGCCGGGGCTGGGGGTGTGATGGGCCGATCTGCACACAGAACTCACAGCAGGCACTATGTAAATGTCAGCTGTTATTACTCATCAAGCTGGCAAGGACAATCCGAATTCCCAGGGGTCACGTGCTCTCCAGGGGCCGAGCCCAGTGCAGGTGACTTGCACGGATTTTCTCATGAAATCTATGTGACTACCAACTGAAGTGGTACCATTATCACCCCCCACCATCTTAACAGATGAGGAAACTGAGACCCTGAGGGGGCAAAATGACCATGCCAAGGTCACAGAGCTACTAAATGGCAGAGCTGAGGTTTGACTCCCAAGTCTTTGTGATTCCGAAGGCCTCGTTCCCAGGCACTCTTGGACGTAGAAATCATCGAGTGGCTTGAGGGTCAGTACTGGAGACCATTCGTCAGGCCTACGAGGGGACGGGGCTTGCTGTGTCACTCAGCAAGACAGACACAAAGCCTGACCCCCCAAACACAGGCCTTGGGACTGAAGCGGGCAGCCAGCACGCGCCTTCTGCAGACGCCCAGAGCCCTTGGCCAGGCAACCCAAGGCAGGGATGGCAGCCGGCCGGGAGAGGGAGGGAGGACTGGGGGGAAACAGATTTTCTCCCCACCTGCCCCCTGGGCTCCGGGGATAGGTGATAATTGACCGAGTGAGCCCCGAGTCAGGCCGAGGCAGGGCTCCATCTGGACCTGGCACGGCGGGGCCGCTAATTGGCACTGGGTGATCCTTGCAGCCTCCTTGGCAGGCCTGCCACCGGGCTCCTCACTCTCTTCCCGGAGACTCGGCCTTAATCCCCAAACCACTGAGGGCACAGCGGAGTCCAGCGCTTTCAGGCCCCGTGTGCCAGCCTTGGTGGGGGAGGAAGGAGCTTCTCTGCCTTCCTGGGGGTGCTGTGGAGCCGAGGGCTCTGTCTGGGCAGAGGTGGGCTCACCGTCTAGCTCCTGGGAACCTGAGCAGGACGTCCAATGGAAGTGGACCCGGGTGTAGACCGTGGAGCTGACTGCCAGGGCTGAATCTCGGGCCTGCTAACAGTGTGACCGGGGCAAGGTCCCTCGCGCTCAGTTCCCTTGTCTGTGGAACAGGGAGAAGGATCACACTGACCCTCTATTTGGAGGGAGGATTACATGAGTTAATCTAGAGAAAGCACGTGCGTCAGCACCTGCCTGGGTGACAGTGAACACGGCACAGGTGTCTGCTGTACTATCTCCGTTCACTCTGGGCCCGCCACTTGCCGTGTGCTGAGCCCTGGGGATGCGGAGACGGGGAAGCTGTGGTCCCTGCCCTCAGGTGCATGGATCCAGTTGGAGAGCTGGTGAGTTCCGAATTTATCCAATAGGCATGTTATTAAGCCCCAATTACATGTCAGGCACTGTGACATAGAGACGAAGGCCCAGGCCTTGGCCGAAAGAGGCCATGACTGAGCAGGGGGCCGCACACCTTCTTTTAGCCGGGCCTGACTGCTGGCCACTGTGACTGGAGGGAGTGGGTTCCTGGCTAGCTCTGCCCTATTTGACAAGCAGCTGGCTCACTTTCCTGCCTCAGGGTCTCCAGGATGTTCTGGGTTTGGGCTGGGGAGAGGAGTTTGAGTGGATGGAGAAGAGTCCTGGGCCCAGAGAGGGGAGGCTGGGCTCAGCTGCCCCTGTGGCTTCCTGCTCTCTTTGCTCTGTGAGCCCAGACCCCTTCCTACCTACTCTGGGTATGGCTGGACCATCTCTAAGGCCTCTGCCACCTGTGAGACTCTGGCCATGGAACCAAGCATCCAACCCTGAGTCCTATGTTCTGGTTGAGCTGTGGGTAAACTGATTTGATTATTTTTAGGGCTTTGCACTCTGAGTACATCTGGGCTGAGCAAAAGGGGTTCGGCGGCCTTCCTCATGCAAAGTGACTTTTGCAGGTCTCATGCTTCCTGCTTTTGCTGCTGAAGTTAAACGCGTTGAGTCAGTTGCCCTGGTCAGATCTGGCCAGGGCAACTGAGGCTCTGTGCCATGGGCACAGACATGCTGGAAGCAGGTGGCAAGCTTCTGGGCTGGGAGGAGCTTCTGATCACTGGGTACCTGCCATGAGCCTGGCCCGTGCTGGGCCAGCAGTTTCCCTTGCTCATAACCTCACTCAGTCCTCACCATCTCCCCGTGTAGCAGGAGGCGTCGTCCCCATTTTAGAGATGAGGAAACTGAGGCTCATAGAGAAGGATGCCTGGTCCAAAGTCACACAGAGCCTGTGCTCCCACAGTCTATGTTCTTCCTACCTCCTGCCTCCGAAGCCCTCGGTGTTCTAACTTGACGAAGAGTGCCCCCCGCCCCTCTGCCCTTCCATGGTTCTCCCTCGCTCCTCCCCTGAGAAGGGGGGGCCCTGCTTGGCCAGGTTAAGTCCAGGGAGTGCCTCAGGCTCATTCCCCTGCTGTAGTAGCTCCTGCTGGGACCACCCAGGGGATGTCAGTCATCTTGCCACCCCCCGACTTCCCTCACATGCCCAGGCTACCCCTGCCTGCCCCTGACGGGTCCCAGGCTCTGTGGATCCTTGCCAGAACTACAGAAGTCAGAAGGCAGCGGCAGGAACTGTGTTAACACGTCTCCCCTTTGCCTGAGGGGGGATCCCAGGGCCTCCCGAAGCCAGTCGCCACACTGGCCATCTGTGGCGTTCCCTCCTCGGCTCAAAGACCCTTCCACGGCTCCTTGGTGCCTGTGGCAAGCCCAGCCTTCTTTGGCCTCTCCTCTATGGACCACCTTGCCAGCCTGTGCCCTCAGAACCTCCGAGCTGCAGCCTGGGCCCGGCCTCAGGAGGTAGCTTCTGGCTCTCCCACCAGCTGGGTTCCATCTCCCATCTCTGGGCCTTTGTTCAGGCAGTTCCCTCCGTCCCAGTGCCAGCCTGGCTCGCTCCTTTTTTATCCTTCCAATCTCGGCTCCGCCCAGATCACCTTTTGACCTTCTCCTGGGATGCCATCCCCGACCTGGTTTGGGGCCTCTTGCCTGTGCTCCTGAAGCACCTGTGTTCTGCCTCTCCCGCGGCGTGATCACACGGTTCTGAGTGTCTGCCTCTTGCCCTTGGCTGTAAGCCTGGGGACAGCAGGTACCGACGATGTCTAGAACCTCCCAGCCCCAGCGGCTGAGACGTGATGGACAGGAGGCCTCAGAATGTGTGTGTTGATTGACGGATCGACGCTCAGAAATATGGAATCTTAGGTGACTCAGCTGGTGTGTGGACCGGAGACTTGGTTCTAGGCCTTTGGAGCCCCCAGACCACGTCAGAGCCCCCAGAACTCCTCCCTCCACCTGCAGAAATGGGGGCTCAAGCCATCCCACCTTCACCCTTCTTGGCACTTGGCTGATACCTGTCTCTACCTCCCACCCTGCCCTTTCCATCTGCCCAGTTATGAGCATCGTAGGGCAGCCACCCTGCCCGCCCGGTTCACTGCCAGGCAGGCCCTCTGGGACACCTCCCTGAATGACAGGCTACAAGGCCTGGAGGTGCCTCAGGCCCAAGGCTAGAGACACCAGAACTTTCATGACCATTGGGTCTTTGGACGGCTACACCCCAGCTGTATTTGTGTGGTGTGTGGAGCAGGATGGTGCTCATCGTCTCCTGGGGAGCCAGCCTTGAACCCCACAACCAGCACAGGCAGGATTCACACCTGGTGTGTCCAGCCGCTGGGTCCTAGTGTAGGCCCGGGTCCGGCTCTGGTCTGCCTCCCTTTGTGCCGTCCCCACGCAGGGGCTGAGAGCTCCCGCACGCCCCGCAGGCAGCCCCATTCCTCCAATTTCCTCCCAATTAATCAAGCTCTGAACTTTTTAATTATCTGCCTGCAGGGTGACTCCCCACTCTGGTGAAGCAATTAAGGACATTTTCAAGTGCTGAGTGGCTGCCGGGAGGCAGCTTTGACCAGGCCCCGACAGAGGAGGTGAGTGGAGGGAGCGCTGGTGACAGGACAAGTGGACGGGAGTGCCCTTGGGCTGTGTGGCTGCTGGGAGGCTGTCCTGGGGTCCTGGCCTGGGCCATTGCAGGAATCTGGGGCCACACTGTCCAGGGCCACCCGCCATGTTTGGTAGCTAGAATCTGGCTTCGTAGACCCCACCCAGCGACGGTGTGCCAAGCACTGGGTTAGACGCTTAACGGTGGAACGGCTGCCTCACCTTGACCCTGGGTGTCGGAAATAGAATTATGTCTCATTTACAGAGGAGGAAACAGAGGTTCAATAACATTTCAGAGATGCAGCTGGGATCTGAAGGTAGCTCTGAGTCCACAACCACTTCATCTGTTGTCTCTTGGAGATGGATGGGTATGGGCTGCCAGAGTGCCCAGGGTCACTGAGGAAGGCGGGCGGGTCAGGGGAAGACTCTGGAGATGCCACGTGAGCTTGGGATCTGCTGAAGAACACGGGCTCTCCACATACGGGGGGTGGGTGGGGGGGGCTGGTGGCAAAGGGTGTCGCAGGCGGAGGGGGCATCCTGTGCACACGCAGGGAGGTGTGAGACGGCGTGGTGTGTGTATGGGAGCTACAGATAGTTCAGGGTCACTGGAGCATGAAGTTCGAGGCTGGGGAGGCACGTGGGGTCTGGGTCACCGGAAGTCAAGAGGACCTGGTCCAAGCTCCTTATTTATGACTAGAGAATGCACAACCCAGAGGACAACAGTGACTTGCCTCGAGTCACATGGCCCAGTTAGCGGCTGATGGAGCCTGGGCTATAGCCCAGGAATCCCGATGCCCAGGCTGGAAGGGAAGCTAGGGGGTAGAGGAGTGGAGGCTGTCAGATTACTGGTTTCCTACCTCTGACCCTTGCCGGCTTACCTCTCCACTTGCCTCTGGCTGCAATCTGTTCTCAACATAGCAGCCAGAGGGATCCTGCCGAACAGGAATCAGCTGTGTGGTGCTCCTCTGCTCAAAGGTCTTTAACAGCTCCCACCTCAGAGTGAAAAAACAACAGCCTACAAAGCCCCCTTTGCCTCTCTGGTTAAATTTATCCATGGTATTTTATTCTTTGCGATGTAACTGCATCCCCCTCCCCTCTCTGAACTCACCTCCTACTGCTTTTCCTCTTGTGTCTACTCCACTCTGGCCCTCTGGCTATTCTGGAGCCTATCTCACCCCGGGGCCTTTGCACGTGCTGTTTCCGCTGCCTGATTCAAATCCTAGCTCAGCTACTACTTCACTATGTCCCTCTCTGAGCCTCACATCCCTCATCTATAATTGGGGTTAATGCTGCCCACCCTGCCTTCCTCCCCAGGCTAACATGGGATCCTGAGGACAGAGCAGGGAACAGAGAGAGCTCCATAAAGGCCCTCCCTCCAGCTCTAGGCTATCACTGCAAGAGGGCTTGTAAAGGTCCTCACTGGCTCCTTGAGAAAACAGGCCCTTTGATGAGCAGTGGGCTCCAGGCCCCCAGACCTTAAGCTGGATCGACACGCTGAGGCCTTCCAGCTTGCAATCCTCGGGACTCACAGATGCTGGGCAAGCAAGTGTTAAATAATAATCACGATGTGCCGGAGGGGAAGCCGGATGTGTTGGAAAGCTTGACACATCTGGCAGGGCCAGCCCTAGTCCCCCGGCACATCTGGCTGCTGTATTGACAGGTGGTACTGTGGGTCACTGAGGAAGGGCCTGGTGGACCCAGTCCCGGTGCCACAAGGGTGGGGGGTGACGGCCGGATGAAGCCGGGGGGCATCTCCCACGCTGCCCACAGGCCATCACCCTCTTGCCGGTCCCCTTCGGGCCACCTGCTGTACTTTGGTGGCTGTGCTCAAAGAGGCCAACTTAGGACCCAGAACCTCGTCTGCCAGATTCTAAAAGCCCTGCAACGTGTTGTCGGAGCCAGACGCCCCTGCCTGGGTTCGGGAAGTCGGGAAAGGCCCCTCCCCTCTTCAGCTGGCGGGGGTGGATTTTCGGGGTCACCTCACGTAGCACTTCCCTTTCTATGGAATCCAGAAATGTGGTCATCAGCTCCACCTGAGGGAGCCCCCTGGGCTGAGACGGGCCTCCTCCCTCCTCCCACCTGCCCCAAGAAAGCCATGGTCATTAATAAAGGACACAATTAGCTGTCAGCGGAGAACATGTCTGGAATTTTTTACCTGCTCTGTGTGCTCGGTTAAGGCAACAAAGCCCCGGACCCCCCAGGGAAGCAGCTACCACACACCTTTCTGGGGGCCCCTTCGCCTGGGCCCAGGGCAGGAGGAGCCTGTGACTTTTTCAGTATGGGCTCCACAGGCCTGGGCCTGGGCAGGACGGTTTTTTCCAGGCTCATGGAGAAAGTGACACAGTGAAGGAGATTTCCTGGCAGAAGCTGTGTTTTTTTTTTTTTTCAACCCAGTAAGCAATACAATTCAATACAGCCTTCTCCCCCTTTCTGTGCCGACTTTTGAGTCTTCAGGGCTAGAAGGACTTTAGAGAAAATCTAGTTCAGTCTCTCATTTCACACCTCATTTTACAGCTGGGGAAACAGAGACCCAGGGAGGGGAAGTGACCTTGTTTGCGGAAATAAATATGCTTCTTTAACGCAATTCGGATTTGTGGCCAAAGTCCGAAAGAATGTTTCCAAAGACCCTCCCAGTCACAAGCACAAACGCTGTCCACGGACTGTGATGGCCATGACGGGGACCACCATGGGCTGAGGCAGGTGTACGGAGGGTCACCTTAGGGAGTGTGGCCTTTCTGAGTGGTGGCATGTAAAAAGACAGAAGCAGGAGTAATATCTGCAAAGGTAGGATAAACGTAGTGCCTCGGTTTCTCATTCAGTGTCATGGGGGAAGAGCTGGACATAGTTATTGGGCATTTGATGCCCACTTGACCTGAGCGCCTCTGTCTTAACAATGCCATGAGGTCGGGATTTGTCACCCCTATTCTGCAGATGAGAAATGGAGGCTCAGAGCAATGGAGGGCCTTTCCCAGGGCATATGAACAGCAAGCTCAGGAGCCCAGGCCTCTAATACCTGCCTCTCTCTCCCTGACCTTCTGGGTGCTTTCCAGGACCACCGCTTTCCCCAGGAACCCAAAGTTGGTCTGCTTGAGCCCTGGTGGCCTCTGACTTTATGCTAATGAAAATCCCACTCGAGGGGTCCTGGTATTTGTTGCCTCAAGGAAAAGAGCTTAGAAACAGGGAGAGGGGGAGCTTACCCACATTCACACTGAGGTTCTTAGGTTGGGGGCCTGCAATCGCTCTCCCTCCTAGGGGTATAGAAACCATCACCTCCTCCTGTTGGCTTCTGGGGAGCAGGAGTGGGCCTTAGCTAACCCAAGCCATAAATCAAATGCACAAGATGTGGCTTGGCAGCCATCCCAGCGAAAAAGATCTGGGGGTTTGAGTTGACCACAAGCCAAAAGCTGCTGAAAAAGCCAATGTGGTCTTAGACTGTAAGAGTAGAAGTAGAGTGACAGCCCAGCATCCTCCCTGTTGCTCAGGCAGGGTTAGTCTTGAGTTCCGCATTTTATGGAGGCCCAGTGAGTGACAGCAGACAGGCTTCCTTGTTTTCATCTGCAGCCATCTCTGGGTTGTTCTGGGGGTGCTTGGGGTGGGGTCCCTCGTATGAACTCTCCCAGGCAGCATTTTCTGGGCCTACAGCAGAATTCCAGATCCCCACTTGGCCCTGGAACATTCTCTGGTCTGGATCCCTGGGAAGGATGAGTCTTCTCCTGAATCTGGCTCAGCCTCTGCCTCCGTGTTCTAGTTCTCCTGGATGCTGGAGATTTGCGATCATGTGTGATGATTCACTAGGGCCCACCATTGATTTGAGGGTGGATTTACTCAATAATAAAAAAAAAAAAGCCCAACAAGTTTTTCCTAAGTAATGACTTTGTGTGCAGCTTGGCACAGAGTGGAATAAGACATGAGTCTGGAAGTCCACTTCAAAAAGGGGAAGAATAGATATGATCAGTTTGGGGTATCGAAGAAGGTTTTCCAGGGCGGGGGGTGGTGGATTTGAACTGGGTATTGAAGGATGAGCAGGAGTCCACTGGGGCCGGAAGAAATGAAGGACATTTCAGGCAGATGAATAGTGTGTGCAAACGTACGGAGGGGTGCAGGGCAGCGTAGAATGGCCGAGCACAGGATGGTGGGGGGAAAGGTGGGATACAAGGAAAAAGGTGATCTGGGGTTATACCACAATGGGTTATGTGTGCTCAGTGATGGAGTCTGTGGTTTCATTTTTTAAGAGCAGGAAAGCCAGTGGTGGTCTTGGGGTAGTGCCCAGATGGCCACCAGGGCCCTCGGCACTTTCCCCCCAGCAGCCTCCCAGGCACTTGCCAACGCATGCCCCTGCCCAGCTCTGGCCTCTGCCCACCTACCCTCCAGTCTGACTCTTTCCCTGTATCTCCTCCTTGTTTTCCCCTTTTCTCTCCTCCTCCAGCTCTCAACTCCTTCTTCCTGTGTTGTGAACAGTCCCACCTCTTCCGTCTAAAAATGGACTATAAAATGAATGGAGCTATTAATAATTACTGACAATGGCAGCTACCATCTGTCTCGAGGATCTACTGTGTGCCAGGTGGAGGGCTCCATGCAAGTTATTCATGTGCCATGCATCACAGTGGTCAGGGGCACAGGCTCTGGAGTCTGGGTCCGTCTGGCCTTGAACCCTGGCTCTCCTTACTGACCTCAGACAAGTTACACAACTTTTCTTTGTGCCTCAGTTTCCCCATCTGGAAAATGGGTCTACCAACAGGACTTCCCTTGTGAAGATGCAGTTAACACCATAGAGTGTTAGTGTTCTCCAACAATTCTTTTTTTTTTTTTAATTTCATTTTTTAAAGTAATCTCTGTGCTCAACGTGGGGTTCGAACTCATGACCCCAAGATCAAGAGTTGCATATTCCACTGACTAAGCCAGCCAGGCACCCCCAACAACAATCCTTAGAGTCATTCTATAAAGTAGATACTATTGATAGTCACATTTATAGGAATGAGTAAAGCTCAGG